TCTAATTCTTTTTCACTTCTGAATTATTTAACACAGAAGAATATTGTCTTCTACTGTACAGATCTTTTTCCCTAAAGGTTAACAAATGTAGTGATCAGTTATTAGTTATCATAAATATAAGATAAGTTAAGGCCATATAACAATATTCAAAAGCAGGGATCAAGCAAATAACAATGCTGATAATTAAGTGTTAAACAATGCTGATAATTAAGTGTTAAACCAAGTGTTGAGTTTTTCTGAATTGTGGGATCTTAAAACTATACTGTATTTTTTAAATTTGAATTTTAGTTTGTAAAATTACATGCGTCCATATATCAACAGACACAAAATGCTGCTTATGATATCAACACTTGATCCGAAGGGTCGTATCACGTCGAGTTGACAGGCGCGAAGCGTCGAGTTTGATCTTATGATCCGCGCCTGTCAACGAGATGTGAGATACGGCTCTTTGGATCAAGTTACTCATGATTATAAATTCATTATATACCCGGCCATCATTAAAAATATCTTTGTTTCCCCTAACCCGACCCTAAATTCTCAAGTTGGGTAGGTAGGTAGGTAAATAATTTTTTTCTGACAACTTGAAAAATACATTCTGAAATTTATAGAATAATACCTTTATAAACTAGAGATACTGTGAGCAATGAACTCGATAAATGATACCCCCGCCTCCCATATGAATAAAATGGTAGTGTCCGTGTTTTGCTTTGGAAAATCCAAAATATATGTCAGATCAAAAAGTAAAATAGGAGGTACGCGATGGCAATATGTAATAAAGATTCTATGAATATTTCATTAATTTTCCTTCAGTGGTATGAGAGGAGTTGCGGATAAGAGATGGGTACCCCAAAGCGTAACAGACGGACGGACGGACGAACGGACATACCGATTACTATATACCCTCCCGCTTTTAAAGCGGGGGGTATATTAAGATCTTATGTTCTCTAGTCTGTGCTTTTGGTTATCAATCGCTAGGATTTCATCTCTGAGTTTACTGACACCCACAATATATGCAAAACAAATTCAATGAAATTATGAAGCAGCACTTTAATAATGTACTTTACAGACATGAAAGAGCTTTTTATAGGCTATGTTACACTCATAAAACTTGTCTTTACTTTTCTCCCCTTAATCTTTTCTCCTTCGTGCCAATGATTGATATTTGCTACACATAAAAAAATAAACAGACCTATATGGCAAAATTCATAAAATCATTATTCATATCATTCATAGCTTCACTTGTACCCAATAGATCCCATCCTTTCAGTTTTATACAATAGATCCCATCCTTTCGGATTTATATAACAGATCCCATCCTTTCAGATCTATACAATAGACCCCATCTACAGTGTATTCAGTTTAATGCAATAGATCTCATTCTCTCACACAATTGATGATATCCTTTCACTTCCACAAATAGATCTTATCCTTTAACTTCTACTCGTTAGATACAATCCTTTCACATTTACTCCTTTTACCTCTACATAATAGATCTCAATCATCCTTACATCCTATACTTTTAAACAATACAACCAATACTTTTACTTCTACACAATACCTTCTATCCAAAAGATTCATAACTTCCACTTCTATCCAAAAGATCTCAAACTTTGCCTTCTACACAACAGACCTATACATTTAACACCTATACAAAAGATCACATACTTTTACTTCCACACAATGCATCTAAAAATTCTAAAAAGCATTCATTTATAAATGATCATATGGCTTGCTTGTGGTTGTAGATAAATGAGCAATGAGCTCATTTAATGATACCCCCGCCTCTCATAAATATGAAATGGCAGTGTCCATGTTTTGCTATGGGAAACCCAAAATATGTGCCGGATGAAAAAGTTAAATAGGAGGTGCACAATGGCAATATGTAATAAAGATTCTGTGAACATTTCATCAAATTTCCTTCAGTGGTATGAGAGAAGTTGCGGATAAGAGATGGGTACCCCAAAACGTAACAGGCGGACGGACGGACAGACATACCGATTACTATATACCCTCCCGCTTTTCAAGCGGGGGGTATAATTTAAAAGCACATAAAACATTTGTAAACAGCTTATCATACAGTGTACCAATGCCGGTTAAAAGCAATATTTAAGATAAATAAATTAATAATTATTATTCATTTGAGCTTGTGAAGTACCTCACGCTAGTGTAAATTTATTGAAATCAAATAGAGTAAATTATCAGACATTCGGGGATCTTCGGACAATAAAGTAAATAGCATTAACCGTAAAAACTTAGGTCCAGTGTCGAAGTATATGCTGCCACAAAAGAAATCCCTCACTGCTCAGTGGTACATGTAATATTGCAGAGTACTTATAAGTCTAAGTTTGAACCCTTCACCTGGCATATATGATCAAATGTTGCCATCCCAACAGTTCTCAAAAGTTTTAAGCAATTTAAAGAAGCACAAATCTTCAAGAGCCAAATTAAAGAAAAATACATTTGACGTCTGTTCGCCACCTTGGAGCAGTGGTTAGAACGTCTGCTCTAGATTCGAGAAGTAAGGAGTTGATCCTTACGTCTCGGGTTCGAATCCACTGCGGGACCTTTGGATGAGACTGATAAACCGAGGTCCCATATTCGAATCCATTGCGGGACGTGGAGATGGTAATTTCCATGTCGCAGAAGGTGTTGGCACGAAAAAGATCCCTCACTGCACAATGGCCCTAAGTCATTCAAAAAATACGTAGACAATGCTTCTCATCGTCATATATTTATTACAAGATTATAGATCAACACATTTACGTAAACATAAACATTTATTTTGTCGAAATATGAAGTTTCATACCATTTGATTAAATAGAACTCATGTTAGCAAAAATTTTAACCAACATGTTTTGTTACCACGGAGCACGGTTAACATTAACAAACATTGTAACGTCAAAGACAACGTTGACAAAGTTTGTCAAAATTATACTAATTTTCTTTAATTTCAAACACGGTTTGTAGCGTTATCTCCATTCAAAAAACATATCCATAACACTTAACAACTACTTTGCGAACAATTGTACAAATATAGCTTGAATAAGAATGTCATTGTTTTCTTTGATTAACCATGTAACTGCATTAATTCTGCAACAGTGAAGCACACATCATATTCAATGATATTCCTTACTCTTTTGACAATTTTTTTTTTAACTTTAACCTGTTTCTTTGCAGATAATCCATCGTCCGATTCAAACTAGCTCCCACTCAAAAATTGTATTTTCCATTTAATACAAACACACAGGTTATTTTTCATACAGATCCTGGTTTATACGGATTTTATAAGCTTGTAGAAAAAGTTTCCCGAATGTAAAGTACAATTTTATTGCTATTTGCTGCTCTGTGACGTCCTCAAACGTCATGGTTTTTGCTTTTTTTAATCAAGTCCCTATGTATTTAGATACTGATATCTTTTAAATGGAGCGACATAATACATAACCTGATTTCATTTTAATTAATACAGCAATACTTTATTTAAACATGTAAATTTTATTTCGTTTCAGCTCCATTTATTAGAAGTATGGCAGCAAATACTATAAAGTGAAAATTAGTAAATTACTCAATTTTGACGGTGCTCCATGACACCATTTTTGCTGTTCTAAATCTTTGGTAATTTTAATAAATATGAAGATACATTCCAATTTTTTACTCAAATTATTTGAATCTGTTGTTAAAATATTTGTACCAAATTTGGATATAATATGACGTTAAATAAAAAAGTTAGGACAAAAGTCTACGAACTTTTTGAATGACCTCTCGTATAGGTATAACTTTGCAGCCCTAGCTTGTCTGCTAATGAAACAGACCTTACCATGCTTACTACGTTCCTTAATTTTGAAAGAAAAGTTTATCAAAACCACTAAACACTTTTAACTTTAAATAAGCCATGATATATTTTATTAATTACGAAATGGTTCAAGAGTGTAGGATTCTAATAAACTTAAGACACAAGGTTGATATGTCGCCGTTTTTATAGCACAAATTACTCTGTGATCTACAAAACCACGTTAGCAACACAGGATTTAGTTGTGTGTCATCTTGTTTATTTTCCAATTATATACGGAAATTTCATTATCTATTACTTAAATATCTTATACCCTCTATTAATGCGCTCAGACGCATTATGGACGGTGTGCTCCCGTTTTGCACACATTTGATAATTGGGTATAGAACAATAAGTGTGAAATGTGTTTTGATAACAATTATATACTAGTCAAAATTTCTAAGTCCCCAGGCAAGTTTTTGCTTTACACCGCTCTCATATTAAATGATTTTAACAGTATATTTTAATAAGTGTACAGGATAAAAAAGTAGCAAAACAATTTTTCGCACTTGATTTATTTCATTGAAGCACTTTAACACAATATGCAGAAATGTTAAGGCACCGTAGAATTAAAAAAATCACAACGTTAAATACTGCATTATCCTCCATTCAAACGAATTCACAGCAAGACAACCGTTCCTCAAAGAGTTCACAAAGAAAAACTCTTTTATTGAATGTTTTTTTCCATGTGGAGACTAGGTCGTCCTCTAGTTCCGCTAGATTCTGCTGCTGGAAAAGCTGTCTCACACTCCGGTCTATCTTCTTCCATACAAGTAAGTTATGGTTGAGATTAGGATGACAAGGGGGCTTACCGAAAGTGCCTGTGCCTTGCTGACAACAGTTACATAATGTCTCGTTACATGAATTCAACACTCGTCCAGTTTGACATTGAGGGGAGGGCACTTCCGGTTCCGGTTCCATTGATTTTTTCCGAATAAACTCTAGGATGAGTTTGTTGTGTTTGTTGAAATTCTAGCGATTTCTAATGATTAAAAGGAATTCAGGTATGCTTTGTAGGTTTTTCGGGCGTGAATTATAAAGGTTTTAAGTAAAATAAAGTCATACAGTGAAAGGAAACAGAGCTCTCGTTAACTATAGAGTAAAAGAAACATTTATAAAAAGTGGTCAATTTAGTATATTTAGAGCACATATCCATTGCTTATCTCACCTCCTGAATATTGGGACTGACAGTCCTAGCTTAAGTACACCATTGGCTGTTACATTTCACACCCCAGTCAATCAGACACACATCTGTAAAACAGAAAAGATGTCTATAAATTGAAGCAATTTTCTATTTTTCTTTCAAACTTTTCAAATAGAATGATTAATCTAGCATAGGTTTTGCTTGTGTGGTAAAGTGTAAATATTTAAAAAGAGTGTATAGTTTTAGTATTTTAGAATTTTTCATTTATTTGACATGCATATTATTATTTTTGTCTGCTAAATAATTTTGATATGATTATTTCCAGGAATTTATTTAATTTAACTTATTTATATTTCAGCAGTGTATTATTTATTTAAGGTATATTATACTTTAGAAGCTATAGAGTTATTTACAAATTAATGAAGAATTATTAGATATGTCTTCCCTTATACTTACTTATAGCTATAAACTTTGAGAGCTCAGTGACCTATTAAGTGACCCGACAATGAGATTTCATTGGTCGACATTTTGGAGGGAAATCTCTTTGTGGGTAGATTTATTTTTGGGTAGAACTGGTCATACCAGTCTTTGTGTCCAAGAGGACAATGTGTATTTTTTGGTAATTCCCTGAGTTTACTATTTTGGGTGTTCAGTTGTTCACTACATCTATATTTTCATCGAGGGTGTAATTCAAGGATCTCAGGTCTGTTGTTATATTATTTTCTATGATTGTGATTTTGATTTTGTGTGAAAGTGAGTGAAAAAGGTGTTAGAATGGTGAGTGAAAGTTTGAGAGTTTGTGTACTTGTGTAAATGAGAAACATAAATATTTTATATGACATTTCATCAGATTCAGTCAAGGCCATCTGCAACTCTAGGATTTCTGGTCCTTACATAGAAAACTTGTCAACAACAATAAATATGGAAGATGAAGGAACAATTACATTAGACAAAGAGATCATAGATTGGACAAAAGCACAGAACGTAGACCCGGAATTACACATTATCATCAATTTTGTTAAGTTAGGCAGAAAACCAACAGTTGCAGACATTGGACCATCACCTTACATCAGATAATTTCATCACCTCAAATTGCTGAATGACATACTGTACAGAGAAGTCATCTACAATGAGGAAATCAAGAAACAGCTAGTTCGACCATCAGATTATATAAATACAGTCTTGAGAGCATTACACAATGATATGGGCCACCCTGGAAAAGATAGAACATTGTCACTAATACGAGAGAGATTTTACTGGCCAGGAATAGACAGAGATGTAGAGGATTACTTACGTTCATGTTGGAGATGCGTTAAAAGAAAAACACCAGTGAATCAAAGAGCTCCACTTATAAACATCGAGACATATTTTCCTTTACAACTTGTGTGTATGGATTTCCTGAGCCTGGAAAAAACTAAAGGAGGACAGGAGAACATACTCATCATTACAGACCATTCTACTTGCTATGCTCAAGCCATTCCAACTCACAATCGGACGGCCAAAACAACAGCAAGAGCCTTATTTGAAAACTTTATAGGGCATTATGGGATACCAGAAAGAATACACTCGGATCAAGGGACCAATTTCGAAAGTGCCATTATTAAAGAACTTTGTATATTAACAGGAATGAAGAAATCTAGGACAACCAGTTACCATCCAATGGGAAATGGCATGTGCGAAAGATTTAACAGAACACTTTTAAATATGTTAGGAACTTTGGAGAAAGAGAAGAAAAATGATTGGAAGTCGTATGTACATCGCTTGTCCATGCCTACAATTGTACCAAACATGAAACAACAGGAGTATCACCATATTTTCTAATGTTTGAAAGGAATCGGAGATTACCAATAGATATTGCATTTGGAATTAGAAAAGAGAATCAGTATTGCAAGACGAAGTACATCAGTGAATTGAGGGAAAGGCTTACGAGTGCATACGAATTAGCAGAGAAGAATGTAAAGGAGGCACAAAAGAGACAAAAGACAACATATGACAGTAAGGCTAGAGGAATATCTTTACAAATAGGAGACAGAGTTTTAGTAAAAATTTTAGCATTCGAGGGAAAACACAAAATTTCAGACAAATGGGAGGATACACCATATATAATAATTGACCAACCCAACAAAGACATTCCAGTATTCACAGTTATGAGAGAAGATGGATTAGGAAGGAAAAGAAACTTACACCGGATTTTACTGTTACCCATTGGTTTTTTAGCCGAGTCCACAGATTTTCCACCGCAGGACACAAAACCCATCCCTAAGCCAAGAACCAGGCTGACAAGAAAGAAAGAGATCACAGAAAGAGAGAATTTAGTGACTGATTCCCAGTCTAATTATGATTCTTCTTCTGACGATGAGACATATGAGATTAAAACAGTCAAGACAAAAAAATTTTCAAGAAGGATGAGAAGGATAATGCTGATCAGCAGGTTGTACCAGAACAACACCAGGTTATACCAGAGAAACCACAGGTTATACCAGAGAAACCACATGTTATACTGGAGAAACCTCAGGTTATACCGGAGAATGAGGAAATTGTGCAAGAAAATCAGGAAGTGGTACAAGAGAACAAAGAAACCAAAGAGACAGAAACAGCAGATGTTCAGGAAGAGGTATCCTTACCTGAAACATCAGTACCAGTACCATTGAGAAGATCACAGAGGGTAAGAAAACCACCAGAGTGGTATTCTTCAGGTAAGTATATCACAAAGGCAATGGTGCAGTCACCATGGGAAGAGAAAATCAATTGTATACAAAGTCTTGTTTCCAATACGGATTTATTTTCAAGGATGGAGAAAGATGTCGCAGCAACGATTCTTAACATCATCCACCATGGTTAGCATGACGAGGACGGACGTCATTTTCCACCTAGGGGGAATATGTGGTAAAGTGTAAATATTTAAAAGGAGTGTATAGTTTTAGTATTTTAGAATTTTTCATTTATTTGACATGCACATTATAATTTTTGTCTGTTAAATAATTTTGATATGATTATTTCCAGGAATTTATTTAATTTAACTTATTTATATTTCAGCAGTTTATTATTTATTTAAGGTATATTATACTTTAGAACCTTTAGAGTTATTTAGAAATTAATTAAGAATTAATAGATATAAGTCTTCCCTTATACTTACTTATAGCTATAAACTTTGAGAGCTCAGTGACCTATTAAGTGACCCGACAATGAGATTTCATTGGTCGACATTTTGGAGGGAAATCTCTTTGTGGGTAGATTTATTTTTGGGTAGAACTGGTCATACCAGTCTTTGTGTCCAAGAGGACAATGTGTATTTTTTGGTAATTCCCTGAGTTTACTATTTTGGGTGTTCAGTTGTTCACTACATCTATATTTTCATCGAGGGTGTAATTCAAGGATCTCAGGTCTGTTGTTATATTATTTTGTATGATTGTGATTTTGATTTTGTGTGAAAGTGAGTGAAAAAGGTGTTAGAATGGTGAGTGAAAGTTTGAGAGTTTGTGTACCTGTGTAAATGAGAAACATAAATATTTTATATGACATTTCACTCTGTTTCAGTCATGAAAGTGTATATATGTAGGACTGAGTGAAATGAATAAATAAGTGTAAAGTTGTAAAACTAGTTTTATAAATAACTTGTATAATTATAATGCTATTTATCATAAAAAAGGGATTTTATCTTTTAACGTACAATAAATTTTATATAAAATAATGACTGAATCAGAGTGAAATGTCATATAAAATATTTATGTTTCTCATTTACACAGGTACACAAACTCTCAAACTTTCACTCACCATTCTAACACCTTTTTCACTCACTTTCACACAAAATCAAAATCACAATCATACAGAATAATATAACAACAGACCTGAGATCCTTGAAATACACCCTCGATGAAAATATAGATGTAGTGAACAACTGAACACCCAACATAGTAAACTCAGGGAATTACCAAAAAATACACATTGTCCTCTTGGACACAAAGACTGGTATGACCAGTTCTACCCAAAAATAAATCTACCCACAAAGAGATTTCCCTCCAAAATGTCGACCAATGAAATCTCATTGTCGGGTCACTTAATAGGTCACTGAGCTCTCAAAGTTTATAGCTATAAGTAAGTATAAGGGAAAACTTATATCTAATAATTTTTAATTAATTTCTAAATAACTCTAAAGCTTCTAAAGTATAATATACCTTAAATAAATAATAAACTGCTGAAATATAAATAAGTTAGATTAAATAAATTCCTGGAAATAATCATATCAAAATTATTTAGCAGACAAAAATAATAATATGCATGTCAAATAAATGAAAAATTCTAAAATACTAAAACTATACACTCTTTTTAAATATTTACACTTTACCACATATTTTTTTTATGTAGAAGTGTAAGATACTTGGCATCCTACTAGCTTGGGCTAGTGGGTTAACCCTTTAGCTCAATCGGTAGAGCACTGGACTGGCATGTCAGAGGTCTCGGGTTCGATCCCAAGCAGAGGCAATAAATTGTCTCTGTTACACTTGCTTTTCTTATTATCTCTCATAATCTCTCAAGATAGGTCATGTTAATCATTCAGGGTAGCAGGTACCCGTTTTTAATGGAAAATGAAGAAAATCAGCAGGTTTTTGTAAGAAAATGCTGAGTTATGGAAAGAGTGAAAACTAATGTAGATAAAATAATCAATGGAAGAAAGAGAATTATATGTAGTTGAAATGGACATAATATTAAAAAGAATTTTATCAGCAGTGGGTTGCTGGCATCAGAGAATCAAATACATCCCTACTGAGAATTGTGTAATTTTGTAGGGGGCTGACCTACATTTTAGCCAATATCTTTTCGTATTATTGACATGATTAATAAATTGATTAAATGCCAAGGGCAGATAAATCATATTCTCTGATTGAATACAGCACTCAATTGTAAGCAAAGTGCTTAAATAACTGCAGTTCTGAAGAAATTTATTTTCTAATTAACTATACAAAGTTCTAAATAACTTAATTATAAAGAGATTAACTAGATTTTCTAGGAAAACCATACCTTGGAACTCTTAATGAAAGCAAAGGGACCATCCTGAGAGTGACCATGTGTTGTTCATTGTAAGTGGGGAGGATTCATTAATCTCCTCCTTCTTGAGAATGCATTGCTGAAATACATTTTATTTTATCAAAACATACTGATAAATGCATGTAGTGGCTTATATTATATTTTTTTTTATAATTTACACCATCTTTTGAATTTTTTTATAAGCATTAGTGATGAAATAGCTTTAAAATAATCATGTTTAAATAGAATTTACTCAGATAATTATTTTAAAAAATATCTAAAAAATTGAAAAAAAAATAACTGCAGATAAGCATGACTCTTGTTGTTCAAATAAACCACAATTAAAAAAATTCCTTCATTATCCAGCATCATTAGAGTACAAAATTACCCCCCCCCCCTTTTCTGCAGAATTTCAAGATTGGATATGGCAAGGAGGAAGGATATTCAGACACTTTTTTCATCATTTTTTCAATAATAATTTTGCAAATTTCTTGTATTTTTAATGTATTTTCTGCTAAAATGTATTTTACAGTAATTTAAATCAAATTTCCTACTAGTAATCTCTAAGTTTTCCCCATACTATAACTTTTATATCACGCCAGCACTGATTACATGACTGAAATTGGCTTTGTTGCTGGATTAGGCCCCTTATGTAAAAACTAAGTAAGCTAATTACTTAACAGCAGTCTAATTTTTATTATAAATTATTCAATCAACGCTGATTTACAGAAATTTGAAAGAGGATTAGTCAAACTGTTCCAATGTCTGCACTCATAAAATACATGGATTTAAATGAATTTCTCAAACTGCGAGGGGGATATTGATATGTTTTGTGTATTAGCCCCTTCACGATAACTGCGGTACTACTCTTTTGCAGGGCAACATAATAACGTTTGGCGAAGTTTTTGTTGATAGATAATTAAATGACGTATATTTAACAATTACTGTTACGTCATATTTCACCAAACTATATCATTTTGCCCTGCAAAAGAGAAGTACCGCAGTTACCGTGAAACGGTCTATTGATGATGCCCATAAACATCAATATTGTATTATTTACAATATTCACAGTAAATTTCAGCATAAATATTAATTTAAAATTATTTACATGTATATTTATTGAAAATATGAGAGCTAGGGCAAAAATTTTAGCATTTTTTTACCATATGCAGTCCCCATTGTGAGCCTCAATTTACCTAAACCCTCTAATTTTTAAAGAAATAGTAAAAACTAACTAAAATATTATCTCAATGCCAAAAAAATAGGAACTCACTGCTTTTTTGGCTGTAATCATTGTTTTTCCATGAAATACATACCTATTCTATAGGACAAATTTTCCCATAGACTTCCATACAAACTTGAGCCCCTGTCACTCATACATATATTGAATTTTGGGCAAATGACCTTTTTGCCGTGAAAGTTCGAGATATTGGAAAACAAAACATGCCAGAAAAAATATAGGATCAAGGCCACAATTAAAGGGTGAAGGTCAAATGGCTAAAACGTAGCACATGTAGGAAATTCACATACCTCCCTTTCAATGATAAAATTAAAAACAGCTCACATGTTTGTGATACTCTTTTGGTATAGAATAAAAGTTTAATGTCTAAAGTTCACAATGATATGCATGAAGGTGCATTTCAAGCAAAAATTATGCATAGAAATATGTATTGAATAGAGCAGTCATTTGGTTTGTTTACACTTTTTTGGCCAAGCGAGAGCTATCCTGAGGTCATGACGTCAGAAGTTTATTAATAACAAGGGAATTCCACATTGAACACCCCTATTTCTGGATGTGAATATTTATCTGTCACATTGCTCTATCATATGGTCAAAAATATTTTGGAAATGAAGATTTTTAAAAAAGTTACAAAGAAAATAAAACACATGTTTTTACTATGTGATATACCGTCACGCGGCACTTTTACTTTCAATTTCCATTTGTTTACAACAAGGTGCGTTTGACATCAAATGAAAATCTCTAACCAAAGTGCACCCTTTCCCTCAAATTTTTACCTGTAACTCCTATATATCTTAAAGAAACCCAAGTCTTGATATGAGATTTTTATCAACTTTATTTCACTTGTCAGATACATATCAAGTCTTTTCTCTTATTGACCAATCACGCGTCAGGTAGCATTTTCTCCTCCGCACAACTTTGGGTGTCCAAAATGTCTGCCCCCATGTATTTATTGATGTAGGAGTTTTTCCTACGACCAGCTTGGGCCATTTCAACTTCACTTTCACATTGTTGTGTGGACATACGGCGCATTTTAATCAAACGTTTTCTGTGTTTCATTATCATTTTAAGATGGAGAACACATGTAAGTAAAAAATATGAAGAATACACCCGAAAATCATATGGAACTCGAACTTCATGCTTTTTAACAAAAACCGTCACGGTCGAGTAATTACACATTCGATTACAAATGTTTTGGTCTTGACAGGTAGTTATTGCAAATGAAAGACAAAATTGTAAGCAAGTAGTTCATTGATGTTAAGGTTTTGAACTTTTAGAAAAAATAAAAGTGGGGACTTAGAAATTTTGACTGGATAGGATGTGCCTGTGTTTACCTTGTTTTTACCTGTGTATTCTATAAAGGAAGAATATAAATATTTATTTGAAAAAGGGAGTTTATTCAATATTAATTAACTTATTATATTTAGAAACTAACTGCCATTTCATGAAAAATAAATAATATTAAAGATGAAAATTCATAAACTCTCTCTGCTTCTTACTCATGATTAATTTTTTAGCATAAATTTTTATTTTGCATTTTGATATTAAGATAAAGAAATACATGTAAATCCAATATTGAGATGCACTGTGATGATCTTTTTTTTTTTGGGGGGGGGAGGGGGGGTTATGATTTCTTATTTTATTTTTCAATTCTCCCACTATAGGTTCACCAACTGTGGTACAAACTATAACAATTAAGTAATTATCTCACCTGGACAAATTCCCGTTTTGCACACATTTTTTTCTATGCCTGAAATTCAAATGTGTGCAAAACGGGAACAAACGTTGAAACCATATGGACGTGGTGCTCTAGATTTTCAATTGGCATTAATTGCCCTTAATTAATGACATGCCTTACACCCTCTATTCATACGCTCAGACGTATTGTAGACGTGGTGATATTACTAAATCATTTCATATCGATCAGCTTGCGCTCTATCAATACGCTCAGAAGTTTAATAGACGTGGTACTTTAATTATACTTATCGGCTAAATCATTTTATCATTGGGGATAATTTTACTCCCGTCCATTAAAATGGCACGACGTTTCAAACGTCAGGATAAACAAAAGAAAAGTGTTTTAAGAGCATCTAATGCACTTGCTAATAAAAACGCATTCACAAAGCAAGCGTAATAAATGCAAAAAAGTTCGTTCTTAATTTATCCTCATACTATCTCAAAGACAACAAATACATACTACTAGCCAAAGGACATAAATTCATTCCTTCACCTCAAAATAGCAATGTCAAAAGGTTACATCTTAAGGATTTTGACGAGTTTGCGAGAAAACTCAGATGCAAATTTCTCTTTGATACCGCGGAAAACAATAAACTTCATCCCTTCAGAACATCTACTGGCTATAAACCCGGCATGTGGTGCACTTGAAAATTACATTGATAAAACCAAATAAGAGTTATCATCAATGCAAATAAAACAATATCAGGATAATTTAACTAGCCAGGAATTCGAAAGAGCAGCTCTGACAACATTAAAAACAACCGTCATATCGTCATTAAGAAAGCTGACAAAAGTAACACTGTGGTCATCATGGAGAGAGAAAAATATGTCACTGAAGCACTACATCAACTTAAATCAAAGCATTATATTGAAGTTGACAAACCCGATCTGTCATACTTACAATAGCATTCAAGAAAAAATACTGGATATGCATATTAAAGGAACATTGGATAATGCAACATATCGTTATCTAAATGATAATGAGTCGTCCCTTAAATGCGGACACTTAATACCTGCTGCCTAAAATACACAAGGTCAAAGATAATGTCTTAACTGCCCTCATGAATGATGGAACTTGCAGCCTCAGACGGTTACCACCTGGGCGACCTATTATTTCACAATGCAATACACCAACACATAGAATTGGTGCTTACTGTGATTACTTTCTAATTCCGATAGTTAAAAAAACAATCGACCTATATAAAGGATACAACTGATTTTATTAATAAAATCGAACCTTTATGCCTACCATCGAAAATCTTATTGATCACATACGATGTTACAAGTATGTATACTAATATGGAGTTCAATGAATTATTATACGCTGTTGAAGAAGCTTACACAAATAACGAAAGAGACTTCTCAGAGTTACCGTATCCAGATGTCTCAGATCTCCTCTTCTATGTTAAATCCATACGCGAAAATAATTATTTTGAATTTAATGGAAAATATTACGAACAAATCTTGGGTGTGCAATGGGTTCAACTGTTTACCCAGAGGTATCTGATATAAGAATGTTCCAAATAACCCAATCAATCATGGCAAAGTTTCAATTTGCTAAAAAGTCTTGTTTCATGGCATATTTAGAGATGATGGTTTCATCATTTTCAATGGTTCTGAGACTGAGATTCTCGATTTCTTTGACCTTGGCAATCAGTGTCATCCGCACTTAAAATTTACCTTTGAAATCTCTGTTGATTCATTGAACTTTTTAGACACAATAAAGGAAGAAAATTGCAAGAATCAAACAAACTTTATATAAAATCTTACATAAAAACCAACAAACAACTTTCAATATCTACACAGGGAAAGCTCTCACAACCCGGCGGTATTCAAAGGTTTTATTAAAGGTGAATGCATAAGACATATGTGAGAAATACAAACGACACTACATCTCTCAATATTATTCTACAAGACTTTAAGACACACTTGTCAAGAGGCTACTCTGATACAGAAATAGATCCTATTATCACAGGCATAATTGGAACAGACAGAAATGAGATCCTAAATAAAAGTAACAGCCAATTGAAACTCCACAATAAATTGGTTATGGTTACAAAATATAATCCCCGAATCAAAGGATTAAAAAACCGCATCTTAAAATACTGGAACGAATTGCAAACAGACACAAGATGCAAAGAAATATTTACATCGGAACCAATTATAGCTTATAGCAAAGACAAAAGCATAGGCGATATAATTGTTAGATCACGTTTACCATAAAGATCACACTGCTAAGGTGGACCCCTAAGGGCAGACCTTAGGGCCAGTACCCGTTACAAAAACTGCCGAAACACTCTTTACTATATTTCAATTTACATTTATGAATGCTTGTATTTCCAGCAGAATAGAATGTCGCAAAGTTTGAATTAAAGTGTAGTGTCCTAATAAATTTCATGGACAAGTTTGACTGATTGATGTCTTTATTTTCACACCGTGATCGCATGTTGTGGACGCCGTTTTGTTTTCAACAAATGCTTTAAAATCACAGCAGAACAAACTCGGCAGTTCTGATAAAAACGCATTTTGATGAAATTGTATTTTGTAATAGTTGACATTTAAAAAATATCTTGAATAATCTTAGCAAAAAATCTTTTCAGTAGGCGCGTTTAAATTGGGTCGGTTGCGTTAGGGGAAGCAAAGGTATTTTTTATTTTGCCCCCCCCCCCCTTATATCTGGCTAAAAATTTTAGAATAAACTTTTAGAGATCAATGGTATAATATAAATCCATTACACAAAGCATTAAGAACAA